TATCGCCCGATAAGTATGCTTTCCAATATTGGAAAAATCTACGAAAAAGTAATTAATGATATAATTTTAAATATCTGTGCAACTAATAATATCATTAAGACCAAGAGTGGTCGAGTCTTTTAGGGTTCGAATCCTCGGAGGTAAATTTTTTTTTTCTATTTTTATATGTAAAGATACATAACAGAGTTTAAATATGTTGAAAATGAAATGTCTTAAATGACTAGAAACCTTATAAGAGTTTATTTTTTTTTATTTTTTTATTTTTTTTAATTTACTGACTTTGACTTTAAAGTTTAAACTAAATAATTAGACCGATAATCCGGTCTTATTCCGGTCTTCCGGTATATCCGGTCTAAATCCGGTATTAATCCGGTTAATAATAAATAGACCGATTGATTCGGTCTTCAAGCCACCAGTAGTGTAGATAATTTAATTTTTTTACCTCATGAATGTCTCGCTTGGGAACTCTCGCGTCATATCGATAACCGAGCTCCGTAAGAAGCGCTGATGCAAACTCATGTAGATAGTTGTGTGCATCATGTGCTATCGCCTTTTTTGTTCTACGCCTTGAGATATGGTATAACAGTGGGACTGCTTTTCTATTTTGAACAATACCCAATCTATCGAGATAAAAGAAGGCTTCCGAAGGTACAAATCCATTATTTAAAGCCACCTTTATATAATTATCGTTTGGATAAGGAATAGGAAAGATGAGGCTGTTACATGAAACAGTTGCCACATTAGCAAAATAATTTCTGATTAATTTAATAATAAAGTTGTCAATTCTATTAATGTTGGCTTTTTCATAGATAATTATATTGCTGACATGTTCGGTGTAATTTGATTTAGCCGATCTGTAAAGTCCTAAGCAAGCTTTTAGGCATCGTCTCTCGAAAATTCGGAAGTTCTCCATTATACTAGCGCAAACGTTATACCATATCTCGCAGCCATAAGTCAAGATAGGCCTTATGAGGTTTTGGTAACAGATAATTTTCGCTTTCGGCGATAATGCTCGCGAATGAAAGAGTCTCGCGCATAAAATAAACACAGTTTTAGCTTTTTGGAGTTGCTGTAGAGGGTGAGCATTCAGTAAGAATCTCTCGTCTATATATAACCCTAAGTATTTRACAGCTTTTTTATGTGGGATCTTTTTGCTTGCAGCTGGGTCTGCATTTATGTGGAATGATTTATAGTTATTTTTGATATTACATGAAGCTTTTTGCGTCGACGGTCTAAAAAGTATTGTTTCGCACTTGTCAATGTTTACTTTTAATTTCCACGCAGTGTAATAAGAAAAAATACTATTAATCGCTTTTTGCAAGTCCGCTTGAACTTTTCTCGGATCCTTTCCAGCTCTGTAAACTATTAAGTCATCAGCAAATGCAATCATCGAGCATCCGGTTTTGTGGGGACCAAATAACTGTAAAATATCATCAGTGTAGATATTAAAAAACACCGAAGAATTTATAGTACCCTGTTGTAAACCAWTTTTAATGACGCATTTGCTCGATTCTTGGTCTCCGATCATTACTCGGAATGATCTGTTACTAATCATGCTGATTAATAATTTTAACACCAACAGAGGGAAGTTTTTCTTTCTTAGTTTATGTATAAGACCATTGATCCATACCGTGTCAAATGCTTTCTCCAGGTCGACCAGACAAGCACCCACACACTTGCCCCCATTCAGTGCCCAGTTAACATCAGAAGACAATTTGTTTATAGCATGCAAAGTAGAGTGGCGTTTTTTAAATCCAAATTGATTTTCGGATATGATATTATTAGTTGCACAGATATTTAAAATTATATCATT